GAGATTGTTAACCATTGTCATAGGGCAACATTTGTAGTAACTGTTAAATGAGAAACTATTTTGTTCTGTAAGCCTTCATCTTAAGTGAGAATAACAGCCAACTGGAAGAGCGTAGTCAGTGTCACTGAACTGTGTATGTAGAAATTTTTGAAACGGTGTATCTTTGGCTATGTGTATTTTCACCAAAAAAAAAAAAGGTTGAGAAGATAGAGGGTTAATATGTTGTGGGGTTGTTAACCAACGTCATAAAACAACATGTGTACTACTGTTTCATGAGAAACTATGTTCTGTAAGCCTTCACCTGAAGTACAATAAAATATATAAAAAAAAAGAAAAAACAACATGCTACTGCAATAAATGCTGACTGCTTATGCCATACCAGCCCCTCTCAAAGGGCTTCTGTATGCAAATACATATGCATATCCTATGACTGGTCGTTAAGGGAATACAGGATGACTAAAGATGAATTGGGGAAAAGATGTCCCAAAGTTGAGTATGATTTATCAGAAAGATGATCCAAAATGTCCCACTGGCAAATATTAGATGTTTAAGATAAAGGGTTGTTCAAAAAATAAGCTTACAAAGTTATTGACTGATTTTTATAAATAAAGTATTTATTAGCCATATAATAGTTTTCAGTAGTTTTGTCAGTTCCAATTAGGCAAATTGGTTATAAATGCTTACAACTTAGTTTACCTCATTTTATAATGGTCTTTCTTCTGCATATATAACCTCTGAATGAAGTACATCCTGAGATTTGGTTCTTTAATCACACACAAAAAAGTTTTCTCTGTAGAAATTAATCATAGCTTTACTCGCTAGAGTTGTAAAGTAAACTAAGTCCACAAAACAGGTATGTCAACAGGTACGACAACTGTATTAAGTGAAAATACAAATTAAAGATCCAACCTACACTATTCTCCAAAATTCTGTTCTAGAAAGTCTGTGGGAAATATCTGATTCCATTATTCAGAAAGTTTAAAGAGCTATTTAAATATTTATAATAACTTCTTATACTAAATTGTCATCCTAAAAATAGCCTGTAAACTTATTTGTTCAACAACCCTAGACACAAAATGAAGGCTCATATTCCCAATCTATATTTCATTATTCTATTTTTTTAAAGCACTGTACAGAACTAGGTAGAATTACATGCTTGATCATAATTTCCACAGGGTCAAATTTATTACCTTAAAAAAAAAAAAAAAAAAAGACCTAATAATCTATAAGTGCTTAAAATGAAAGAAAATATGTAATCTAGATATATATTCTTCATAAGCCATTTGGTTAGTGGTAAAATACATTTGTAAGAGTTAGATCAAAATTTTGATATTATACAAATATAATTTATAAGTATTTTCTTCATAAGTAATTGGGTTAGTAAAATAGATTTACCAGAGTTAGATCAAAGTTTTTCATTATCAATATGTCCAAAATGGGAAAATAACTCTTCTACCTTTCCGAAGCATGGAAGTGGGAAGACTGTGGAGGGCATGAACTAGAAAGGCCACCCTCGAGCGCAACAGCACGATGAGGGGGGGTCCTTTTGCAATCTACCGGGCTACTGGATACCACGTGATAAACAGTAAAAGAAAGAAAAATCAATGGTCAATTAAATTAAATGGAATTTCGTATCAATGATTTAACCACTCTCAAGATAACACTGGTAAGAAAACAAACATACTCAAGCATCTGACAACATTGGAGGATTACATGTTGAAGGCATTAAGAAATCAACATGAGTTTTCTGAACCACAAAAACAGGAAACTGCCAAAAGATCTATTTCACCTTCTATTTCATCCACACGCCCAGAAAAGATTGTTTTTCTCTGGTCACATTTAGTGCTTCATCAAATGCATATTCCAAAGATTTGATAATTTGTTTTGTCAATTGTCTCTTTAAATAAAATACATACTTCCAAGTATAAAAATGTATCTATTTATCCTAATTTGTAATTCCATTTGACAGTGGTCACATCCACATAATCTGACACAGTCATTCTGGATTCATAAAGCAAAACATTAAAGACAGAGAAACATATTCAGAGTTGTGTTTAAAACACTTCTTTTTAATTCTTAAAATTATTGTATAGTTTTGAACAGATTTTTCAACTTACTAGCTGAAAGTATTCCACATACTTTTCTTCCCAAAATATTATATTTTTCCCTCCTTAGGGGTTTAGCTCCACAAATCTAGGGACAGAATGTATAAGGGTCTAGAAAAGGCTATACCTGTACAGTCCAATGACAGCCACTAGCTACATGTGGCTCCTGAACACTTGAAATGTGGCTAGTCCAAATGGAGATATGCTGTACATGTAAAATATACAACAGATTTGGACATCATGATATCAAAACAAAAATGGGAAATATTTTATTAATACTTTTTAAAAACAGATTACTTGTTGAAGTAATATTTTGAACATACTGGGTCAAACAAAATATATCACTAAAATTAATTTCATCTGCTGCTTGTTTTTAAATATGGCTACCAGAAAATTTGAGATTACATTACTGGACAAGGCTGGTCTGTACAGACAAGACGGACCTCAGTCACAGACTTCATCAGAGGTCTTCACCCCCACACTGGTTCAGTAATATTCACTGTTACAGTCTTGGCTGGAAACCAGGCATGTGGCATATCTATTTTTCTCTGACCTCAGCACACACTGCTGATGGCTGCCGTCGCATTAATGAGATTATCCTCATCAAGCTGGGACCGGAAGTGGTGCTTTGATGAGACTGGCTTTAGGTAGGCCACTGCAGCATATAGCAGGATTTCTAAGGGTTCGTATACTTCCATTTTACACCAGAAGTCAATCTAAGACTTTAGGTATAAGAAAAATCCAAGAATATCACTGTCATTTAGAACAGTGTGTCTCAATCTTTTTTTTCATTATCGCCACCCCATCAAATATTTTGAGACTTTATTTTCCTAATAGCCATAAAATGTTAATGCCATTGATATACTGTATATTTGTTTATGTACTGTGGCCCTTTAGAGGGTCACAAACTCTTGTACTATCTAAAAATTTTTTGCCCCTCAAGAACCAATACTCATCCCATTGGTGAGAATTCCTTCCCCAGTCCTCTGTCCACTTGAAAGTAAAGAAAACTGCTCAGAAGGGCTCAAATATGTTCAAGAGGTTGCAGTGATTTCAAAGTCTTCGGAATCTTTAGGACAGTAATTTGCACACTGAGCAGCTATAGTTCTCAAAGTTTATACCAGAACTCTAGGGTAACTTAAGAGTTCGTTTCAGAGAAATAAATGCCCTTGACTTCAGCAGAACCACCTAAAGCATGGGAGGTAGGCATCATTCTAACACCCCTGAATGCCTCCAGTAGCCCCTGAAGCCATGTCTTTGTTTTTAAAATTTACTTTAGGCCTACATATCAAGAAATGCTTGGCTACCCAGATTTTACCCGTTAACAATTAGCATTATGTAACTGGATGTCACTGTCTCTTCTAGAGAGCCAAGAGCCACATCAGCAGATCGATGATGACTTTGTATAGAAGTTTATGATCTGCACATGTTCTCTTTTCAGTGCTGATCTGTACTTCGTACGCTGAACTTTATTTTTTCTGGTTCATTTTTTATTTATGTTTTACTATGTTATTAGACACACTTCCTATAACTGACTTCCAAGTCCTTTGCACTGGGTCAGGTGAGCAAACACTCACACCTACACACACACTAGCAACTTACCTTGGGTTGGGGGACCACTCTCTATCTGAATTAGGGTATGATGCTGACTGAGGATAAGTCGTGTCTGTGGAGAGGTTTTCCTTAGGAATATCATCTTGGAATGAAGATAAATCATCAGGAAGAGTTCTGGGGGGAAAAAAACTGAAGTTAAAGAATTCTTAATGACAAATTCATAATAAAGTTTCAATTTTGCTCTTGATTATGCTAAGCGAATTTAGTCAGTCACGAAAGGACAAATATTGTATAAAACCACTACTATAAGAATTCAAGAAAAGGTTTAAACACAGAAGAAAACATTCTTTCATGGTTATGAGGGTGGGGAGGGAGGTTGGGGGTTATTCATTAACTAGATAGTAGACAAGTTTTATCTTAGGTGAAGGGAAGGACAGCACATACTACAGGGGAATTCAGCACAACTGGACTAAACCAAAGCTAAGAAGTTTCCTGAATACAACCAAACACTTCAAGGGACAGAGTAGCAGGGGTGGAGATCTGGGGACCATGCTTTCAGGGGACATCTAGGTCAATTGGCATAACAAAGTTTATTAAGAAAATGTTCTGCATCCTACTTTGGTGAGCGGCGTCTGGGGTCTTAAAACCTAGCGAATGGCCATCTAAGACACATCAATTGGTCCCAACCCACCTGGAGTAAAGGAGAATGAAAAACACCAAAGTCACAAGGGAAGTATTAGCCCAAGAGACAGAAAGGGCCACATAAACTAGACACTGCATCAGCCTGAGACCAGAAGAACTAGATGGTGCCCACCTACCACCAATGACTGCCTTGACAGGGAACACAACAGAGAGTCCCTGATTGAGCAGGAGAAAAGTGGGGTGCAGAACTCAAATTCTAGTAAGAAGACCAGACTTGATGGTCTGACTGAGACTGGAGGAACCCCAGAAAGCATGGCCCCCGGACTCTCTGTTAGCCCAAAACTAAAACCATTCCCGAGGTCAACTCTTCAGAGAAAGATTAGACCAGACTATGGGACATAAAATGATACTCGTGAAGAGTGTGCTTCTTAGCTCAAGTAGATACATGAGACTAAATGGGCAGCTCCTGTCCGGAGGTGAGATGAGAAAGCAGAGAGGGTCAGGAGCTGGTTGAATGGACACAGGAAATTGGGTGGAAAGGAGGAATGTGCTGTGGTCACAGTATAGGGCGAACAATTAGGGTCACATAATAATGTATGTATAAATATTTGTATGAGAGACTAACTTGAATTGTAAACTTTCACTTAAAGTACAATAAAATTTAAAAAAAAAAAAAAAAAAACCCATTGCCTTCAAGTCAATTCTGACTCCTAGTGACCCTACAGGACAGAACAGAACTGCCCAATGGGATTTCCAAGGAGTGGTTGGTGGATTTGAACTGTCGACCTTTTGGTTAGCAGCCAAATGCTTAACCACTGCACCACCAAGGTCCCAACCATTTCAAAGTGAGGGTAAATTTACATAATACTAAAGGGCAAGTAGGAGTTGTCCCTAAGTTGGACATTCGTAACCTGGGGACTTACTGTATAAGATAGATAAAGTGCACGATTCCAAAATTCAGTCTAAAATTCATAACAGAAAAATAAGAAATTATGGGGAAAAATACAGTTTATAAAGCTAATCTTTAAGAATTCATCCATCCAATTCTGACATGAACATATAGGTCTTTCCCTTCATGCACATTTACCTACTGCTGTCCAGTGGTTCTTTATCCTCATCAGAGCTCATCTCTATGGGAAACATGTCTTCATCTTCGGACGTGTTCATGGTGTCATCTCTTTTTAGGCTATCCAGTTGGGATTTTCTTCTCCGTTTTCTTCTCTTCTTTACTAAAGAGCCACTTGAAGGCGTCTCACTTGGAGGTGAAACTTGGGGTGACATGGTGGAGTCCAGGCACCTTATTCGATCTACAGAGTTCCGTTTCAGCTGGCTTTCCATCCTTGAGGCTCCTTCTGACAGGATAGGAGAGGTGGCCAGGTGCATAGGGATCACTTCCTAAAGAACAGAAAACACATTTTCCAAAAACAGTCTTTATTAACTACACCATTTGGGTTTAAGAAGCAGGACTGTGCCAAAAGCCCTCCAGTGTTAGTTTAGGAGCCTAAGCACTCCTCCAGGTCCCTGGGTGGCACAAACAGTTTGCGCTCGACTTCCAACCTAAGGTTGGTGATTCAAAATCACCCAGCAGCACCGAGAAAGAAAGGCCTGGCAACCTGCTTCTGTAAAGACTGCAGCCAAGAAAACGCTATGAAGCAATCCTACTCAGTAACATATGGGGTCATCACGAGTCAGAACTGACTCGACAGTGACAGTTTGGTTCTAGTTTAAGCACTCCTCAGGGAGGGCCATGGCAGGACAATGTGACTAAATGTCACAGCCACAGTGATTCTGGAGATGTGACTGCCAAATCTGACAGAAGATCAAAAAGTCAACAATTCATTAAATTCCAGTTTGTAATGAGTCCTGTATTTACATAATTAAAACAAAGTGAGGTAAAGTGATTTCAGGTCACAAAATTTAACTCTGTCCAGAGTAAAGAGGAAAAAATGGGATTTGAGTCATCAGATTATCCTGGGAATTGTCCTCAGTTTTATATTTCAGTAGGTAAGGGTGTGTGTGAGAGAGAGAGAGAGTATGTGTATGTGTGCATATTTATCAATATGCATTGAATTAAGATAATAATTTTTTTTTTTAAATAGCTACTGACAGCCCCTGCCCCACCACCACCCCTTCCTAAGTGCCTGCCTGCCCCAGGGCACATCCAGGTATGTGATAAATGGGTAATGAGGTGTTGCAATTAGATGTTGACCATCTTCTTAAAAATGAAAGGACAAAAAACACAAAATGTTAATAGTTTTTCTATAATGATTCAATTTTTTCAGAATTATAGTACTCATTTTATTAATGAATGACTTATTTTAATAAACTGTAACAAGTAAAAAATATATACAAGTAAAAGACAGGGATAAACAAAAATATGCTGCTGACAGTTTAACTGTTTTATCGTTGTGAGTTGTCATCGAGTCGATTCCGACTCTTGGTGATGCTGTATGTGCAGAGTAGAACTGCTCTGTAGGGTTTTTTGTTTTTTTAAAGTTTATTGTCCTTTAGGTGAAAGTTTACAGCTTAAGTTAATTTCTCATTCAAAAATGTATACACATACTGTTTTTTAACACTAGCTGTAATCTCCACAATGTGACAGCACGCTCCCTCTTTCCACTCCAGGTTCTCTACGTCCATTTGTCCAGTTCCTGTCCCTTCCTGCCTTCTCTTCTTGCTTTTGAACAGGAGCTGCCCATTTGGTCTTGCGTATTTGACTGAACTAAGAAGAACATTCCTCACGTCTGTTTTTTTTTTTTTTTTTTCTAGGCTGTGACCTTTCAGACTCACCAGGCCTGTCTTCTGAGGCGCCCCTCTGGGTGCGTTCAAACCATCAACCTTTCTGCTAGTAGTTGAGCACTTAACCATCTGCACCACCCATGGCCTCCTTAAATTGGTTTGGAGAGCATCAAATATGCTAAAAACATAAAATCTGGAAGGGACGTTAGAGGCCATCACATGCAACTGGTCAACTGGACCAAATGAAGAAGAAGCAAAGGCGCTAGAGTAGAAAAAGAGTTCTCGCCTGTCCTCAGCCTGAAAATAAGGGGCAGCTAGAGCCTGTGGAGAAAGGCAGAGCCCACATCCTGCAACAATCTGGGGATGAAGGACACAGCTCCCTGAATTCCAGCAGCCTCTGCTCCTCCCAGGAATAATAAGAGGCATGTGTATGAGACAGGACATATTCTGGTCTCCAGGACCCCAAACCACCCACAGGACCTCTGTAAGGCCAGCCAAGCAGGCCTGCTGTTGTCTTCCAAGTCCACAACACCCTCTCCCAAAATATTTCCTCAGCTCTTAGGGCCTAAAATCTGACTAAAGCCAAGGGACAAACAGCAAGTGTCCATTTGAGAGCTTCTGTCAAAGTACCACAGGTGTCAACTAATAATTATCAGAGCCTTCCACTTTAAGAGCGAGGTAAAGAAAGGAGCAGAAAGGCCGGCATCCCTGATGGCCACAGGAGGTAGTTACAGGACAGGGAAGGCACTGGGCGAGTACCCTGGGATTCCTCTTAACAATGGCGTATCTAGGGTATTGCACCGGCCCTGGGCTTGTGGTGCCACTGAGTAGTTTCTACCATCCCAGTACGGCCCAATGTCCTTCCTCAAGCACAGCAATGTGTTAATTAAAAGATTAACGAGCTTGGCTTATATTCTTGAGCTGATATTATGGTAAAGTTATCTAAAAGAGGGGTACCAGATATTTGGACAGGGGTGCAATTTCAGAGCTTGCCACAGGTGCCATTTTCCATAGATACACCACTGGCCATACTGGGTTAACAGAGACTGCTCGGTGGTGCCGTGAGCCCAGGGCCAGTGCAATACCTGCCACCTCTGCCATATTGTAGTTACCTCTGCCTCAAACGTTGCACCTTTACCAAGAGTGGGGCCACATACACTCACCTGGGCAGACCAAATGCAAGCAATGCCCTGGGACAATTCTGGTCTAAAACTACAAACTATGGCCATTAGTTTCAGGGCTTAGAGTTGTATAAAGATGTTCCTTTTTAATCAGACTACTTCCCCTAAGGAGCCCTGGTGGCACAGTGGTTAAAGTGATCGACTGCTAATCTAAAGATCAGCGGTTGGAATCCACCAGCGGCTCTGCGAGAGAAAGATGTAGTCATCTGCTTCTGTACAGATTTACAGCCTTGGAAACCTATGGGGTTGTGATGAGTAGGAATCAACTTGATGACAGTGGGTTTGGTTTTGTTTGGGTCTTTCCATAAAGGAATTAGCTCAGGTGGATTTCATTGAGGAATCAGTGCACTGGACCTCTTCAAAGTAGCTTTCCAGGTGAATTAAACAGTAATAAAAAGTGGTTTAGTCATTCACCAAATAAAAATTAGAACATCTGGCTTTGGGATTTGACATATCAGTATGATTTGTATGCCTTGGGCAATGGTTCAGGCCAAATGGCTGACTGCAGTCCCTCTGTCTCCCTAGAGACAGTAAGCAAACTAAAGCAGTGATGCATGAGCCCAGTGGCCTTGGGAAGGCCAGGACACCCAAGTTTCACGTGGAGAGGCCTCACCCTGTCTGGCTCAGATTCCTAGAGCAGGTAAAGGGCTGCTTTTCATGCTGGCATCGTCCACACAGCCTGGTGCCAGCATTGCTTCTCCATAAACACTTCTGCTGTGTCTCCTAGATGAGCACTGCTCAGACCTCAAAACTAGGAAGTAACCCTGACCCATCCTTCCTTACCTGATCATTATCCGTTTCTTGAACAAAAAATGCTTCTCCATTATCTCCCAATTTCATGTGCAAATCCACAGATTCCCCATTGATTTCTATGTCAACCTGAAGAAAAAACATGTTTTTAAGAAAACAATAAGCTGCCGTCGCCACAACAAGAAACCTCATAGGGGATGGCCATGTCTCTACATACACACTTTAATCAAATACATCCCCAAAATATTTCACAATTCCAAATCCCCATCAGTTAATCCAGTGCGACTGCCCTCACGGAGAACCATGCACTTCAGGGGTTCTGGGATCTGGAAGGCCGGAGGCCGACTGTGAAGGACAGAACCCAGGTGAAAGGCGCCTCAGAGACCACCAGGCCCACCTCCTCCTTTTCCAGCTAAGGGATTGAGGCCCAGACAATGGAAGCAACTGGGCCAGGGTCAGACAGATGGTTAGGGGTAGAGTTCAAGCTGCAATCAAAGTCTCCTTAGCCCCAGTCTTTAGAAATTATACCCTGGAATATTTTGTCTGCTGTTGGCTGGGATCCTTGAAATATTCTGAACTAATAGTTTGCACTTGAACTTAACCCAAAGATCTGATTATAACACACTATTTCAAATTTCAATTAAGGATACGAAATGTATAATTTATTTTTTAAGTATTTCTTTCTTTCAATTTGTGTGTAAGCTGTATTCTCCAAAAATGGACCCATCAATATTTCTGGTCCTATACGCTCTTCCAGAACCTTGCCGTTCCCTGCCAATAAATGGAGTCTATTTCCCCTCCTCTTGAGTCTGGGCAGACTTGTGATTATCCCAAATAACAGAGTACAACAGCAGTGATACTATGTGGCTTATGAGGCTAGGTCATAAAAAGGATACAGCTTCTGCCTGGTTCCCTTTCTGTTGTGATGCTAGCCCTTGGATCCACGTCACCATGTGGTGAGGATGACCAGGCCACATGGAGTGGCCACCTGTAGGTGTTCTGGCCAACAGTCTCACAAAGATCCTAGTCAAGAGCCAGAATCAACCACCACATACGTGAGTAAGGGCTTCAGATGATTCCAGCCCCTAGCCTTGGAATCTTCCAGCAGAAGCCCCAGACAACAGAGCAGAGACAAACCATCCCTCTGTGGTGTCTGAATTCCTTACCCACAGAATCCATGAGCATAATAAATAGTTGGTTTATGCCACTAAGTTTTGGAGTAATTTACACAGTCATAGTAGCCAGAACAGTTTGAATTAATTGTCAATTTAGTGAACAGCCCTTTCCAACTGAGAGCTAAAAATCTGGATCTGAGAGAAGCTCAAGATGTGCAAAGTCACAGAAGTACAATGATTTTCTCTAAGGAGAGAACCAGCCCACCAGGCCACTGGGTCCTCTGCTCTTACCACTTTCTCTCGGGAGCGCAGCACCCCCATCTTCCCAAAGCGGACATGGAAAGGGGAGCACTGAAGGTTCCCATTGGGTTGGCGAACAACAATGACATCGATGCATCCAGACAGTGTGGCAGGATTCAGCCCCTTGTAGAGTTCTTTCACGGTAACAAACACCTGGCCTGCCAACTGCCCAACGTAATTCATGGTTTGAGCCTAGAAAACAGACAAAAGCAAACTAAACATATACATACATATAAATGATTAATTCAGGGAAGGCCATCAAGATGCAATAAAAATGAACTCACCATTTCAAAAATATATCAATATATGTTAAATTCCACTTTCCACTTTTAAATCTTGCTCATATCATTTTGTTTCCCTAGAATGTGCTCCACAATACTCATCCCCCACCACCTGTTCCCTCCTTCCCCAAACAGCAAACCCACCAAATACTCCCTGTCCCATGAAGCCCAGGTGAAGTTATCCCTGGGCCAATCGTCCTGATGGCCTATCTGCCTTGTTTTGTCACTGTTGACCTGTTTTATGTAACTGAATCCTAAGACTCTTAGAAAAGAGACTGTATGTTATACATCTTAGTATTCCCCCACTGCACCAAACAGAATATGCATTTAATAATATTAACTGAAAAAAATGACTATTTTTACTTGAGAAGGGGGAAAAAATTTTTTTTAACTATTTCCACTTCAGTTGGTCCTTGTCTGCCTGTCTGACCTCTCTCCCACGGCCCCAGGGGATCACTGTGCTCTGCATCTGTCTGTCTGACCAGCTAATCCACTCAGCAAACATTCAGGGCATCTACTCCACAAAGGGCCTAGTGTCAGGGACAGAGAGACAAAAAAGGAACAATGCCTATCGTCTTAAGGGACTCATAGGCTCATGAAGGTGACAGAAGTAAACACAAGTAACTGAACATACATCAGTGTTCTACTGACACACATGGGGTCATTCGACAACAGCTGGCTTTTTTGTTTGTTTGTTTGTTTGTTGTGTTTGTTTTTAATAAATGCTAAAGGAGTTGTGACCAAGAAAAGAGAAGAATGCACCACGGAGCAGTGGGCACTTGAGGGGGGCTTGGAGGAGGAATAGAACACTTTCAGATAAGAAGGTAGGAAAAAAGGGCACAAGTTGAAGGAGTTCTGCGCAAAGGCACAGAAGCCTGAAAAACTCCAGGCACAAAGAGGGAACTGTGCCTACAACAGAGAATATGCGGGAGGGAAGAGTGGAAACCCAGGCTAGGAAATTTGGACTTCACTATGTAGCAATGCGAAGCCATCAGAGACATTCTGGACAACAAATTGATAATGAGATCCATGATTTAGAAAAAGCATCACAGTAAGAAAGTAGAGAAGACTAACAGAATAGAACTGAGAGTCCAGAAGTAAACCTTCATATCTAGGACAACTGATTTTTGACAAGGGTGCTAAATCTATTCAATGGAGAAAGAAGAATCTCTTCAATAAATAGTGCTGGAAAATAGGATTTCCACATGCAGAAAAATGAAACAGGATCCATGCCTCACACCATACACAAAAACAAATTCAAAATAGATTAAGGACCTAAATGTGCAAACTAAAACCATAAAATTCTTAGAAGAAAATGCAGGGGCAATGCTGTCGGGCCTAGCTTTTAACAATGGATTATCTAATATAATAACAAGAGAACAAACAGCAAAAGACAAAACAAATAAATGGGACCTCATAAAAACTAAACACTTTCATTCATCAAAAGACTTTACAAAAAAAGTGAAAAGACAACCTACTGACTAGCAGAATATCTTCAGAAACCATATATCCGATAAGAATCTAATAATGAAATATTTATAAAACTTCAACAACTTAACAACAAAAGGACAAATAACCCAATCATAAAATGAGAAAAGGACGTGAATAGACATTTCACCAAAGAGGACATTCAAATGGCCACCAGACACATGAAAAGATGCTCAGTGTCATTAGCCATCAGAGAGTTGCCAATCAAAACCACAATGAGATACCATTTTACTCCCACTAGGATGGCTTAAGAGCCCTGGGGGAGTAGTGGTTAAGAGCTACGGCTGCTAACCAAAAGATCAGCAGTTTAAATCCACCAGCCACTCCTTGGAAACCCCATAGGACAATTCTACTCTGCCCTATAGGGTTGCTATGCGTCGGAATCAACTTGACGGCAATGGGTAACAGGTAGGATGGCTAAGACATTAAAAAAAAAATACAGAAAATAACAAACGTTGGCGAAGGTATGGGGAAATTGGAACCTTTATCCATTGCTGGTGGGAATGCAAAACAGCACAGCCATTATGGAAAACAGTGTGGCAGTTCCTCAAAAAACTAAAAATAGAACTACCATATGACCCAGCAATTCCACTCCTAGGTATATACTCAAAAGACTTGAAAGTGGAGACTCAAAATGAGACTTGTACACCAGTGGTCATTGCAGCACTATTCACAATAGCCAAAAGGTGGAAACAAACTAAATGCCCATCAACGGACGAATGGATAAACAAAATGTGGTATATACGTACAATGGACCACTACTCAGCCAGTAGGAGCAATGAAGTCTTGATACATGCTACAGTATGGATGGAGCTTGAAGACATTATGCTGAGCGAAATAAGCGAATCACAGGGCAAATATTATACAACCTCACTTATATAAAAAGACAAGAAAAGGCAAATGTATAGGGACCATAGTTTATTAGTAGTTACCAGGGGCAGGAGGGAGGGGGGAGAAGGGGGACCAAGGGTGATAAAAAAAAGTCCCACTGATTAAGGGTACGGATGCACAGCTGATTACTGTAATTGCTGTCAATAAGTTGTACACCTGCAAAAGTTGTGTGATAGATATGTTTACAACAATGACACCCACACACACAAAAAAAGAGTAGCTGCTGGGCCTGCTTATGTGCAACCAAACACCTCATGGGATTTGGTTCCATGGTTTCAAGCTTTAGGGCTGTGGTTTCAAGGGATATCCCAGTTAATTGGCCTAATAATATGTTTAGTGCTTCTGTTCTGCCTCCTACTTTGTTGTACAGTGCCTGGGGTCTTAAAAGCTTGCAAGCACTCATCCAAGGCACAGTTGGTCTCTATTCACCTACAACAACAGCGGAAGAAGAAGAGTCAGGAATTGGTGGAGGTTATGGAATTGTAGCTAATTGTCTCCATGAACAACTGCCACCTTAGCCATGAGACCAGAAGAACTGGATGGTGCTTGGCTACCATTACTGAACATTTTGGTGAAATATTCCATAGAAGAATCCTGATCAAAATGGGGGAAAAGGCAGAACAGAATTTCAAATGCTCGTGGACTCTAGACATTCTGGAGCCATGGAGGATGGATGAACCCCTGAAACTATTGCCCTGAGATAATCTTTAAACCTTAAACCAAAAATAGCCCCCTGAAGTTGTCTTAAAACCAAATAATAGTTTAGCTTAACTAGTCAAAAAAAGTCTGCCTTGAGCATTATGCTCTTTTAAGAACTATCTGTATGGGATCAAACTGATGACAGCAACTCAAAAGATTAGATTGGAACCTTATCAGGCAGTGAGTTTTGTTAATGGGGGAGGAACAACTCAGAAAAGGAGGGTGAGAATGGTTGCCCAACTCAAAGAATGTAATCAATGTCACTAAACTGTACATGTAGAAACTCTTGAATTGGTGTATGTTTTGCTGTGTATATTCTCAACAACAAAATTTAAAAAAAAAAAAAAAAAGATAAGACTGGCAAGAAAAGAAACCAAGGCAAGCAGGCTAATTGGGTGGCTGTGGATGACGGGGCAAACAAACAACGATGCCAGCCTGAAATGAGGCAGACAGAAGAGACGAAGAGAAACGGACAAATTCAAGAGATACTTTTGTGCTCAAAGTACTAGGAGTCTGAGCTGCCACTAGACTCTGGACTTCTTTTCATAGTTTCTGGATTCCTGACTACTTACCTTGGTGCTGATCCACTCCTGGCCAACTGCCCACTTTAGCATAACCCTGGCTCCCCAAGTTCCATCCTCTTGTCTGTCAATGTGCCCTGCTGTGCTGTGCTGCAGCCTTTACACCTCAGACTGACCCACACATTCACATCTTAGCCCTAGTCCAGCCAGTTCCTCCAGCCTCTCCCCTGTTCACACCTCCCTGCTCTGCTTCATCAGGCTGGGCACCATCAGCCATTCTCCGGCCTCCCTTCAGGAATGTGGTAGCACCTCAACGGGCTTTACCCTCTACGGGGTCCTCTTCTTTGCCAACTATAACTGCACTTATACTTCAGGGCTGAGTCCCAGACCCTCTCTTAATTCTCTTTACCACTTAATGCCTTGGTGGATGCATGAAGTCACATGGCTTCAAATACCATCCAAATATGAATGATTTGCAAAATGTAATCTTCCAATCCCAAGACCTCCCTTTTCTGTCTGGACCATATTGCTCTGATTCTTCAAGGCAACTATGATGGTGTGGGCAACAACATCACCTCTACCCACCCCAGGTGACTAACAATTACCCTAGGAACCACCACAGGGCAGGTACACACATGTCACTGAGTAACATGTTTATACAGTTTGGTCCTATGCATTTTCTTTGCTCTGATGTGTCTCTAGTCTGTTGTTCCCATGTTGTTCCCATATGGTTTGCCTATCATTCAGTGAAGCCATATTCTCCTTGAAGCCAAGGATCGATCCCTGTTCCTTCCAGTTACAAAAACAAAAAGTATCTTTTGTAAGCCTTACCTCAACTCTTATGAAATATGTAGAAGTGACACAATATGCCCATTTTATAAATGTGGAAACTGAGTCTCAACAGTGGTTGGGTCAAATGCCCTGCCTGCCATGGGCAAATAAGAGCTGCTGATTTAATTCTAATTCAGAAAAGGCCAGAGACCTAACAGTAATTAATGACACACACAAGACAAGAATACAAGAAAGCCCAAGCTGGCTCCTTTCAAACTTTTAAATGAAGCTCTCTAGATTGAGACTACACCGCCTCCTTCAACTGAGGAAACAAGCACACCCTTTTGTAAACGCATTCAGAGATGGACACAGACCTACTTCCCTTCAGAGTGGGGTAAATACCAGAACTGTCCACTTTCCACCTGAAGCTGCCCGGCTAATATGAGTCAAATATATATGTGAATATAAAAAGCATGCACTTCCTAAGTTTGCTTAGGTGTTCAGGTTTCACAAACTTCATCCAAAAAAAGATGAAAAGATG